AGATTACTTAAAAAATAAAAAATCTTTTAAAAAATTAATCAAATAAATTAAAAAGAGCTTATTCTCACCACTCCCCTCACCCCCGGACACACACACACGTGTCAAATGAAGTAGTAGCTCCCTCTGGTCTACATTTTCTAACGTATTTCTTTTCCTCTTCCTCTTACTTTGTCATCTCCTTTTTATTAGTATCTCATATTTCTATACTTGTTTTGCTGCTTTCCAGTTTTATGGTTCCTCTCTTACTATCAATAATTTCTAATACTTTTTGGAAGTCAATTCTTCAGCCATCCTAAAAAAATAAATTTCCTACCATGAAGAAAAGTTATGTCTTTTCTCTTTAGAAACCATGTCTTCTAAATGTTCAAGAAATCATGCTTTCTAACTTAATTTCAACTTGACTACACTTGAACTTCCTTTAAAAAGCATTTCTCAAATTTGAAAGTTGTTAGTAGTTACATACAAGGAGCAAGTGTACAGAGCAGGGGTCGACATTTTCTGTAAAGAGTCAGCCAGCAAAATATTTCAGGTTTTGTCAGCCTTACAGTCTCTGTCACAGCTTCTCAACTCAGCTACTGTAACACAAAGCAGCCCTGAACAAAACAGAAACAAATGGGCATCGCTGTGTTCCAACAAAAATTTACAGAGACAGGCAAATAAGCTATAGACTGCCAACCTGAAATAATTCTTTAGACCTTTTTGTTTATATTTTATAAATACCAGACTCCAGGCCTGAAATCCCTATTAAATGTTTATGTTGGACATGACCTGTTGGTCTGCTAAGCCCCCCTTCTTTGAGGAGTCCATCTCTTTTTACATCATGTGGACCTGGTGGGGCTATCAGCTGCATTCCTCTCTCTACATATATACGTACACTGATGTACATGCCTACACACACACACACACACACACAGAAGTGGACCTAAGTTCAGGCTCAACAAACAGAGTATTTTATTCCAACCTACCCCTTGGCACAGTGAATTACATAGGGGAGAACATATGACCCAAGTGAGCTCATTAGAGTTGTTGTCTTTTTTTTTTTTTTTTAATTTACCCTCAAAGAAAGTTCATGGTCTTCTTTTTTGGTCACGAATGTTAAGAATGTAGGCTTAGGTTGCCTAAAAATGAAGACAGCCTCCTGATCATTCAACCAATTACTGAGTGCCAACTATGTGCCAGGCACTCAAGATACAATAAACAAAACAAAGAGGGACGCCTGGGTGGCTCAGTCAGTTAAGCGTCTGCCTTTGGTTCAGGGTCATGATCCCAGAGTCATGGGATCAAGTCCCGCGTGGGGCTCCCTGTTCAGAGGGGTACCTGCTTCTCCCTCTGCCTGCGGCTCCACCCGCAAGTGCTCTCTCTCTCTCTGACAAATAAATAAATAAATAAAATCTTTAAATAAAATAAACAAAACAAAGAGAAGCCCTTACCCTCCCAGAGCCATCTTTCAAGAGGGAAGCAGCAAGGAGTGAAGTAGAGCAAAGGTGGAGAAGTCCTAATGACAGAGGAAGCCCTAGACCAAGACGACTCTCATGTGCTGATTACTTGAAGCAGTAATGTGGATTTCTGCTATTTTTCTAACTAAAATTACTGCTATTTAACACTTACAGATACAAAATAGAAACTTTCATTCTCCTAATAACACTCCAGAAATTGGTAACATATAAAAGATTACCTTGTTCTCCTTATTATTCATCCATGGTTGTAAACAAAAATCAACAGGTGAGTCTGTTTGAGAAAACAAAAATAACTGAGACCAAATTATTTTATCAACTAAAAACCCAATAACCCCTAAAAATTATAAATTAACTAAACTTTTTTCCCTTAAGTAGAATAAAGCACTTTTAAGTGATGGTATAGGAACTTATCACTGGTCAGTTTAATTAAAAAACTGTCAGGGTGGAGAAGTATGAGAAATTATACATATGCCAAAAAAAACCCTGAATATGAATCTAATCAAGCCTTTAAAGCTAACTTTTGCTTTACAGAGGATATAGGGAAGAGAGAAACAAGAAAAATGACAGCATGACTAAGCATACAGACAAATCCAAATCATGGAACACTCTACAGGGTGACAGACTGAGTTTTTTTCAACAGTCACTGACTTAGGACACACAACAAATAATATAACGTAACATAAGGTAACCTTCTTTGGACTCCAATTCAAGCAAACTAACCTGGATAATTAGTAAAATGAATATGGACTAGAGTACTATATGATAATAAAAGAACTGTTAATTCTGTTAGCAGTGTTAACAGACTGTGGTTATATAAGAAAATATCTGTATTTTTAGAGATGCATACTAAAATATGTAGGAATAAAACGATACTTGAATTTTAAAATATCAGAAAAAAGTAATAAAAAAACAGAAGAGATAAAGCAAATACGACTAAATCTTATACTAACTGAGATTGTGGGATAAGTATATGAGTTTTTCTTAACGGATATAAAATTTGCATACCATGAAATCACCACCTTCTTAAAGCATTCAAAACAGTGGTTTTTAGCATATTCTCAAGGCTGTGCAACCATCAGCACTCTTTAATGCCACAATATTTTCATCAGTCCAGAAATACACACTGTACCCATTAGCAGTCATTCCCTATTCTCCCCTTCCCGTGGCCCTGGCAACCACTAATCTATTGTCTCTATGGATTTGCCGATGCGGTCTCTACAGATGTCTGTGGACGAACAGAATCTTAAAACATGTGGCCTTTTGTATCTGTCTTTCTTCACTTAGCCTAATGTATTCAAAGTTCATCCATATGATAGTACATATCAATACTTCACTCCATTCTATGGCTCAGTAATACTCCACCATATGGACACACTACACGTTATTTATCCATTCATCAGCTGATGGGAGATTTGTTTCCACTCTATCACTATTGTGATTAATGCTACTATGAATATTCATGTACAAGGTTTTGTGTAGACATATGTTTTCATTTCTCTTGGGTATATAACTAGGACTGGAACTGCTGGCTCATATGATAGTGCTATGTTTAATGTTTTGAGGAACTGTCAAACTACTTTCACAGCAACTCCATCATTTTACATACCCACCAGCAATGAATGAGAGTTTTAATTTCTCCATATCCTCACCAACACTTACTATTTTCCAACTTTTTGATTATAGCTATTATAATAGGTGTAAAACCATTATCTCATGGTTTTGATTTGCATTTCCCTGATGATTAAAGATGTTGAACATTGTTTCATGTGTTTACTGGCCATTTTACAACTTCTTTAGACAAATGTCTACTGAAAACCTTTGTCCACTTTACAGTGTTTTTTACTGAATTGGAAGACCTAAAATCTGGATGCCAGTCCCTTACCATATATGATTTGCAAATATTCTCTTCCATCTTTGTGCTGCCTTTTCAGTCTTTATAAGTCTTTTGAGGCATGAAAGTTTTCAATTTCAATGAAGTCCAATTTACCAATATTTTCTTTTATTGCTTGTAAGTGTGAGGAGTTAATACCATTCTCACTACTTTCATACATATTTGACACTTTTCATCAAGAGTAATACAAACAGTCACTAAGGTTTTTAACAAAAACATACAAAGTACATTCATTCATCAATCCTATAATATGGGCTAAGTACTGAACCACAATTTGGAATTACATGCTATCTTCACTACATAAGAATACAATACATAGTTTAAAATATTTAGCTTTAATTTCTCTGACAAAAGAGAACATAGAGTACTTAGAAGCAATCTGAAAGCAGAGCCTGTAAGTTATTTATTTCTTATAATCTTCCCCTAAATTTGAAAACAACTGTTCAAATGACTCCAAAGCATTCAACTTGGTTTTCTTAGAAACAATAATTTTAGAATTTATAATTCACAAATTTATATAAAATAAATTTAGGAACAAATATGACTGGTGGTAATATCAATCAATTGGGCGGAGGGGGGCAGCGGAGTGTGAAAGGTGTGTCTTAAACACAACGTGTGCTGTGGCCATCTGACAGAATGGTTTCCAAAGGAAAGGAGCTTTCAGCTTAATCAGTGAAGACAATTAAAAGATTAATCAAGAGGAGGGTGGTCCAAGATGGCGGAGGAGTAGGAGACCTAACTTTTGTCTGGTACCAGGAATTCAGCTAGATAGCTATCAAACCATTCTGAACAACTAACAAACTCAACAGGAGATAGAAGAAAAGAATAGCAGCAACTCTATGAACAGAAAAGTGACCGCTTTCTGTAAGGTAGGACATGCGGAGAAGTGAATCTGAGGCATATATGGGAAGATAGACAGGGGTGCGGGGTTGGAGGGGGAGCGTTCTGTCAGCCGGCTACCGGCAAGTGAAAGAACATAAGGACACAAAATCAGAACTTTTAGAAGTCTGCTCCAGTGAGGGACGTCACTCTGGTGGCTAAGCAGAGGGGGTGGGGGGTGTAACCCTCGCTGGGATAGTGTGGTCTCAGGACCCTCAGGGTCACTGAAAGCCTGGGGGTGCCTGAGTGTGGCAGAGCTCCCAGGTATCAGAGCAGGGAAGCCGGCTGCAAAGAGAGAGCCCAGGAGTGGGCTCTCAGCTTGGGGTTGCCATAAACCGTGATCCGCAGCACAGTAGGGCCCTTGCTCTTTGAGCAGGGACCCAAAAAGCAGCAGATCCGGGGAGACTTCCCTTCCTCCCTTGGGAGGAGCCTTGCGAGAGCCCACTGCAGGAAATCAGCTGGGTTTGGAGACTCCAAACAGGGCCGTGTGCCAGAGATAGAAATGCTCAGTCACAGGCCAGGTAAGCACGGAGTGTGGCTGGAGACCAGGGAGACAGGAGTGACTGACTGCTTTTCTCTGGGGCCTCACTGAGTGGGGCCCCAAGCTCTCGGCTCCTCTGGGGCCAGAGACTGGGAGACTGCCATTTTCATTCTTACCCTCTAAAGCTGTGCTGAAAGCCTTCAGGGAAAAGGGCTACCGAGAGCAAACCGGAGCAGACTGCTTAGCTTGGCCCCTGGCAAAGGCACTGCAATTCTGCCTGGGGCAAAGACATTTGAGAATCAATGCAACAGCCCCTCCCCCAGAAGATCAGCAAGAATATCCTGCCAAGAACAAGTTTAGGGATCCATGAGAACTGCAAAACTCCAGCACTAGGGGAATACAGCACAAAGAAGTCATGGCTTTTTTCCCATGATTCCTTAGTCTTTCAACTTTAATTTTTTAAATTTTCTTTATTTTTTTCTTTTTCTTTTTTTTTGAATTTTTCTTCTTTCCTTTTTCAACCAACTTATCAATTCCTTTTTAAAAATCTTTTTTAATTTTCATTTTTACAGTCATATTCTATCCCTTCATTGTACTGAACCTTATTGTTGGTATATATATGTAAGATTTTCTTAGTTTCTGCAGTTTTGTCTAAAAGACCAAAATATACCCACAATCTAGTGTATGATTCTGTTCTAGTCACCTACCTGATCACATTCATTTTTTAATTTTTCTTCTTTCTTTTTTCAACCAACTTATCTTTTTAAAATCTTTACAAGACCAGTGCTCTAACCCCTGAGCTATGGAGCCCTTTTTAAAATCTTTAATTTTCATTTTTCTACAGTCATATTCCATCCCTTCATTGTTTTTAACCTTATTTTTGTGTGTGTGTATATTATACAAGTTTTTCTTACTTTAAAATTCTGGGATGCAGTTTCGTCTAAAAGACCAAAATACACCCAAAATCAAGTGTATGGTTCTGTTCTACTCACGAGCCTGATCATATTTTTTTTTTTCCCTTTTTCCCCCCAGTTTCGGGTCTCTTCTGATTCATTTAGTGTATATTTCTCTGCAGTCATTGTCACTCTTTTAGCAATTTGTTCTCTTGTTCATCTGTTCTTCTCTGGACAAAATGACAAAACAGAAAACCTCACCTCAAAAAAAAGAACAAGAGGCAGTACCAACTGCCAGGGACCTAATCAATATGGACATTAGTAAGATGTCGGAACTAGAGTTCAGAATAACGATTATAAAGATTACTAGCTGGGCTTGAAAAAAGCATAGGAAACACTAGAGAATCCCTTTCTGGAAAAATAAAATCTAACCAAGTGGAAATCAAAAAGGCTGTAAGTGAGGTGCAATCAAAAATGGAGGCTCTAACTGCTAGGATAAATGAGGCAGAAGAGAGAATTTGTGATATGGAAGACAAAATGATGGAGAACAAAGAGGGTGAGAAAAAGAGAGATAAACAACTACCGGACCACGAGGAAAGAATTCAAGAGATAAGTGATACCATAAAGCGAAACAATATTAGAATACCTGGGATCCCAGAAGAAGAAGAATGAGAGAGGCGGAAGGTATACTGGAGCAAATTATAGCAAAGAACTTCCCTAATGTGGGGAAGGAAACAGGCATCAAAATCCAGGAAGCACAGAGAACCCCCCTCAAAAATCAATAAAAATAGGTCAACTCCCCAACATATAATAGTAAAAATTACAAATCTCAGAGACAAAGAGAAAATCCTGAAAGCAGCTCGGAACAAGAGGTCTGTAACGTACAACGGCAGAAACGTTAGACTGGCAGCAGACCTATCCACAGAGACCTGGCAGGCCAGAAAGGACTGACATGATATATTCAGGGTGCTAAATGAGAAAAATATGCAGCCAAGAATACTTTATCCAGCTAGACTGTCACTGAAAATAGAAAGAGTGATAAAAAGCTTCCAGGACAAACAGAAATTAAAAGAATTTGTGATCACCAAACCAGCCCTACAAGAAATACTGAAAGAGGTCCTCTAAGCAAAGAGAGAGCCCAAAAGTAACACAGACCAGAAAGGAATACAGACAATATACAGTAACAGTCACCTTGCAGGCAATACAATAGCACTAAATACATATCTTTCAATAGTTACCCTGAATGTAAGTGGGCTAAATGCCCCAATCAAAAGATTGTACTAGAAGTCCTAGCCTTGGCAATCAGACAACAAAAAGAAATCAAAGGCATCCAAATGAGCAAAGAAGTCAAACTCTCACTCTTTGCAGATGATATGATACCTTATGTGGAAAACCCAGAAGACTCCACCCCCAAACTGCTAGAACTCATACAGGAATTCAGGAAAGTGGCAGGATATAAAATCAATCCACAGAAATCAGTGCACATCTATACATTAACAGTGAGACAGAAAAAAGAGGAGTCGATCCCATTTACAATTGCACCCAAAACCATAAGATACCTAGAAATAATCCTAACCAAAGAGGCAAAGAACCTGTACTCAGAAAACTATAGAATACTCATGAAAGAAATTGAGGAAGACACAAAATGGAAAAACGTTCCATGCTCATGGATTGGAAGAACAAAGACTGTTAAAATGTCTATGCTACCTTGAGCAATCTACACATTTAATGCAATCCCTCTCAATATACCATCAACTTTTTTCACAGAAATGGAACAAATAATCCTAAAATTTGTATGGAACCGAAAAGAGCCCGAACAGCCAGAGGAATGCTGAAACAGAAAACCAAAGCTGGCGGCATCACAATTCTGGACTTTAAGTTCTATTACAAAGCTGAAATCATCAAGACAGCATGGTACTGGCACAAAAACAGACACACAGAACAATGGAACAGAATAGAGAGTCCAGAAACAGACCCTCAACTCTATGGTCAACTAATCTTCGACAAAGCAGGAAAGAATAACCAATGGAAAAAAGACAGTCTCTTCAACAAATGGTGTTGGGAAAACTGGGCAGCCACATGCATAAGAATGAAACTGGACCATTTTCTTTCACCATATACAAAAATAGACTCAAAATGGCTGAAAGACCTAAATGTGAGACAGGA